ATAGGTACTCATATTTAAAAGATTCAACAAAAAAAATTAATAACAAGTACAAAACTAAGTTTATATATATAACGAAGAATCTTAAAGATGTTAATTAACTGGTCGGCAACGTGTCATGTCAGTACTCTTTGAAAAATTGCGTGTTAGACACGTCGACGCGTGTTGGTGCATCATAGGTCTACTTTCAACTAAGCGATGAAGTGTCTGATCCTTACCATATATGCTGCTAAGGACATTTACATGTGACATGATGGTGGTCTTTACTTGAACTTGAAAAAGACAGAGAGAAAAAAAATTTCATGAATCAACATACAATTTTATTTGATATCATAGTTTTAGTTGTATGCATTCCTATGTAGGACAAGTAGAGAGGTTGACATTGATTAAATTGATCTAGATGCTTTATTAGTTGCCATGTAAGTTCCTTCTTTCACGTCTGCGACTTAATCGTGGATTCTGTCATTCTGCAGGAAATACTTGGAAGAGGCCTGTGTTTGGATTGATTCAAATACAACAACACTTAGCATTCTGTCTTCACAGGCTGAGATTGGACTTGGATTTCTTCTGATTCTCTCTCTTTTCTCGTCAGTATCTTTGCTTCCCTATAAATTTTTCTGGGTTTGATATTTTTGTTCTGGAACTTTTGATTCTTATTAAAAAAAAATGCGTACGTAATTGTTAAGGTTATCTCCTCAATTTTTTTCTTAACCATCCAGGTGGCAGCGCAACATTGTACAAGCATTTATGTATTGGCAGGTGTATACCGCTTCTCCTTTTATACTTGAATACGGAATTTTTAATTTTACGTGACTTAAATTTCTTTAGTTGTCTAGAAATTTATATTCGCTCTTGTTGACTGAAATGACCAACTGCAGAATTCAAGAAAAAATATTTTTCCTATTTTCTGCTTCTGGTTCTTCTATGATGATGCCAGGATTATGCCATTCCTAGCTAGATAACTGGTCTAACATGTACCTGGTGTTCTGGTGGAGCAGTTCAGATGATCTTGTATTATAACCTATAAGAACATCTGACTAAGTTCTCTCTACATAACGTTGGTCTATAATGGCCTTCTCATTTTTTGTCTACTAGGGAACTTCACAACATCCAAATGTTCTTCTCTGAAAATGTAAAACTTGGCAGCATGTAAGATAAAGATTTTTGCTTATAAGTAAGCAAGTTTTAGAATATTTTTATTTTTACTGGACTGGGCTGGAAGTAATTACTTATTTTAACAGTAAGGTAAGACTTATTTTCTAAATAAGCAACTCGTGTTACATGGAAAGTAAGAAAATAGTCATGCCTCAAAAGTAACTTTTACTTGTAAACTTAGCCCTCCATGTCATTCATGTGCACTTGGTGCCTGTAAGACTGTTGTCTAGATATTTTTGTTATTAAATGATGATGGTTCTTGAGAAAAATATGGCTTTTGTAGATTGTTAAGTTAGTATTCTTATGCTATGTAAACATTTTTTTTCCTTCTGGCAGCTTTTAAAGCTTATGTACCAGGCCCCTGCAACTGCCGGTTACCATCAAAGTGCATGGGCCAGGATCGGGAGGACCTTAAATCCACTAATCTATCGCTATGTACCTTTCCTGAACACCCCAATTAGTGCTATTCAGAAATTGTGGTTTAGGTAAAGAGCTTGGAGAGAAAAGGAAGTTAATGACAACATGTGCATGTCTTTCCTCTCGAGACATGTAAATCTCGATTATTCAGAACCGGATATATGATTAATCAGGCACTTGACTAAGATTTTGATGTATAACTTTTTACTAATAATCACATTGGAACTTATCGTTCAGAGGGCGATGTTGAGGTTATTGAAGTTTTCTGTTTCTTATCTTCTCCTTAGAATGGTAGTGTCTTAACTATGTTTTGTTTTGTGTTTTGACACTTTCTATTGATTTGAAACTCTAGTGTGGCATAAATAAACCAGACCTAGTTTTACAGAAACAGATAATGAATTTGACAGGTTTTTTAGTGTATTATTGAATTTGTCATGATATTTTTATGGTATTTTAGATATGATTTCAATTTGATTATAAGGTGTTACTAAATTTTCATTAACAAATTTGGTAATGCGTCATATTCTTAGCAATAGTTGAAATGATAACAAATTCTTTATTTTTGCAAATTTTGGGTTCCCTTTTATGCCTTGCCATAATGATAATAGTCGATTTTTACTCTTTTAAAACCTTTTTTAAAGGTGCTTTTTCACACTCTGGGTCTTTTTCTTCTTTCATATTTCCACCATCGAAGCTACAAGGAGTTTCAACAAGTTCAAGTAAAAAATAAAAAATAAAAGGGCAAATCAAGTCAATGGTCACATAAATTTGGAGTAGTTACACTAACTGGAGTGGTTATTTATGGTTATGCTCACTTTAGTTTTTAATTGTTACGCTAATGATCAGTTGGTTAAAATCATTAACGAATATTGTGTCTTTAAGTGTTTACATGTCACAAAATGAAGTTATTTATTACGTCGAGTTAGCGAATTTGAGAGTTAGGAATTTGGAGATAATATAATGCGACTTTAGTTTTAATTAAAATTTTGAACTTGAATCATATAGTAAAATCATTTTACAACAATGAATTTTGCTGATTTAAAATAATAAATAATGTCGTTTGGTGGCATGTTGATGCTATATAGGATTTAAAGTTAAAAATTAGAGTGATTATTACTATAAGAAAATAATTTCATAATTATTGAAGTAATCACTCAAAATTTCATTGACCATATAACTAACCCAAAAATAAACATTGCAAGTCAACTCGCCCCGACTTTGTGGGCGCTTGATAGGATCATCCAGTTGATTGACAACATCTCTTTTTATGTTTTTAGTTCATATTAGATTATTCAAAAATTCAAATCAAACTTGCCTTATATTCCTACTATCTTAAAAGAGGCAATCCACCATTTACTGTTAATTTGTGAAGCATTTTTTATCCCCATCTTATCCATAGACATCCTCCACTATGCATCCACGCAGATTTAAAACAAAAGGGTACTATGGACTTCCTCTTACCCACAATTGTTGATTGGGGAAAGAAAAAAAGGGAAGCAACCACAATTGTTGACTCTTCTTATGTGTCTCAATAATAATAATAATAATAATAATAATAATAATAATAATAAAAATAAAAATAAAAAGGGAAGCAACCATTGAATTGTATTCCTACTTTTCCATCTTATCCATATCGATTCTCCACTATTCATCCAATCTTGAAGTTTGAATATCTGATTGCTTCTGGAAGAGGAAAAAGAGGACACAACAACTTCTTTCACAAGTTCTCTCACTTCTTTGTTTCAGATCACAACATCAATTTCATCTTCACTAGCAGGTTAACGGAGGTTACAATTCAATACTAAATCGTATATTTTGCCGCTTTCGAATTCCCCACTGCAAGCATACGACAACTATGGGGATTTTGTACAAAATTCCTGAAATCTGTGTTCTACTCGAGAAATCAATTCAAACCGAAACCTGAGAGAAAAGTTACAGTTTCCTCGTTTGAGCTTCTCTGGAAGTTTTCCAATGCTGCAAACTTTTTGCAGACGTCTTGAGGTATTCTCAAAAGAAATTTAAAATAAATTTCCTTTAAAACATATATTATACATAAGCTTCAGTAGCTTGCCTATTTCATTTATTTCTATTAGTTTTTTACATATTGTATGTACGTATGTTAATATATTTCGTAGGAACCTTAGTTCCACCCAGGAACAGAATTATATGTGCTAATAGCCTTCTTCAATTTCTGTTGGTTACTTTCAGACTCAACTATTCCATAGGTTAGCATATTCTTCTGATGGATGTTCTAAATACATATTCAGATGGAGTTACTGGTTCTTTAAATTTCGAAACAATATCACATCGCCAACAACAAAACCAAAGGCAAAGGGATTGTCGAAATCGACTTCGAATTGGATGCATTGATCATCACAAAAGAATAGTTGCTCCTATGTCATCCAGAAATAATAATTCGAATCCTATGCAAATGCAACATTCTACAATGAATCATGATTTTAGGGCATCTACTTCAAACCAGCAGACACCTGATATTTGCAATTCTGCATTCCGAAATGGTTCTTATTTATTGAATATACCGATGACTTCATATGTATTACCCACATGCAATACTTGTAGAGAGTGTAATGTCTGTAAAAGGAAGAAAATAATAATTATTATGTTTATTTCTTTTAGTTTTGTTTATATTATTTTAAACGAAAGCGTATGTTGAAGTTGCAGTTACCATTAAAAGAAGAAGCTTTAAGATTTGTAGCTCATATCACATGTTTTGTTGGCAGGTTTTGAACAATAACAATGCACTCTCTTTTAACAAAAGTGTCCCATAAAGTTAATATCACTGTCTGAAAGCGGAGAAGAATTTCGCGCGCTGCGCATAGTCACTCTTCGCATTGTGCAGAGAGGACTACAATTTCATTAAAAAAGATTTTCATTTTTATTTTTAAAAGTACTAATTTATTTCTTATATTTTTTTAACTAAAAATTAAATAGTTTCACAATGTTAAAACCTTCTATAGCGCCCCTTCTTAAATTCCGTTATTCTACTTAATTAGAGTTAGGTTCTAACATTTTCTTATATTTTAAACAAACTAAATACAATTTCAATTTTCAATAATTTAATTCAAAAAAATTCATAAACACTACAAAAACTCACATTCGTTTAAAAATCATATTACCTTTTGGAAATACTCAATTCTGTTACAATTAATATTTAAAAATTTCTATTTGAATATATGATATAAAAAACAGCAAGAAAAGA